CTTGATCATATTACTTTATTATAAATTTATAATTGATTGTTACATAGTAATTATACCAAAAACGTAATAAGCTACGAAAGTAAATAATTTAAATATTAAAAACATTAATCAATTTTATGTCGAATTTTTTCCTTTTAAAATACAACGTTTAATCCTATAAATTAATTATAAGAATAACACGATGTGCTCATATAATGCACTATGCATCTCAGACGTCATGTACAACTCATACCAAACCAACACAAAACTCGAATTATGCCCAGAATTGCTACTCGTACTATTTTTCAAAGTATTGAACTTTTTTTTCACATCTATGCTATATATTTTGAAGTTTAAATTAAGTACTCCAAAATACTTTATTATTAAGAACCTGGCCGCACTGCGGTATTTTTGTTATTGAGTCCGAATGGTTTTGCCGCCACCAGTATGGATCGACCGATTTAAAAATAACTGACGATAACCTTAAAACCACGACGATAAGGCCTTAGGTAAAATTATATACATAAGTATTATAATTTATAAGTAATCACGATTCACGACCGTGAGTGTCAACTGTCTAGTAGTACGAGTCCAGTCACGAATTCACAGCTACCTTATATATATATAAGGTATTATATATATTTTTATCTGTGTTTTCCGTTAACCATAACCGTTGCTAAAAGTTTAAAATTTTTACAGTTGTAGTATTTTAGAATAAAGTGTTATTTGTTAACAGTGTTAAATTTTCATTATATTAATGAATATATTCATAATATATTAATATTTAAATAAATTAAACAACATGAGATAAGTAAAAAATATAAAAGTTCGCAGACATGTTTACTTAAAAATAAAACTATGGACTTTTATGGATTCAACGACAATAGATTTAACAAAGAAGAAAATCAAATAACTGCTTGTGAACTTGTCAAAGTTGATCATACTGTTAAACACAATTTTTCTTATAATAGTTTAGATTTCGGCATAAAAGTCGAAAAGAAAATATATAAAAATTTTAAAATGTTAAACAAATTACATTTAGGTAGGACAAATACTGAAAATATTGTAATTAAAGTATTAGGATCTGCATATCTCCATGAAATAAATGTATTTAAGTAATAAAAATGTAATTACTTTTTCAATTCAAACTAATATTAGTAACAAAAGAAATGATAAGTTTTTTCTTCTCAGTATTCAATATTTCAGTATTAAAAATTACATTGAAAATAAATTAATTGATTTTTATGAAAACCACAAATTATCTTTGCAAAAAGTGTTCGCATTAAGTGCAGGTAATAGTAATTGTAACTTTGGAAAAAATTATTCATAAAATACTTAAAAAAAAACATTAATAATTTTATAAAAAAAAAAAAAACTGTCATGAACATATTATTCACAATTCTATAAGATATATAATGAATTAATATTTTTTGACACAGAAAATATAATTTTAAAAATATATACTGATTTTTCATAATATGCTGTTAGACGTGAAACATTAAAAGATTTTTTTTACATTTTTGAACTGTGAATGATCTGTATTAAAGAAACATGTTATGACTAGATGGTTATCTTTATCCCATAGAAAATATTCTAAAAATTGGGAATTATTAATATCTTATTTATAATTCTTGGAAAAATGCCCTCTTTTAATATTAAAAATATTATTTAGTAATGATCAAGTAACAATCACTGACATAGATAAATACTTTTTTTTTAAGTCACATTTTACCCTTATTCAATGAATGCATTAATAAATTACAAGGGAATAACATATTAGCCATGGTAATTTATGACGTTATGAATTCATTAAAAAAATCTTAAGAAATACTAATCAAAAATAAATTTTTTGACTTATAGACAAATCAATATACTGAAACATTCGTAAACAAAAAAATACTTAGTAATTATTATTTAAACTTTTAGAAAAATGAAGTTAATTACTTGAATAAATAGTTTGATTCCTAAGATATAAATTGGTTAGAACGAGTAAAATATATTAATCTTTCAAAAGAACTTATATTTTCTGAATTGTTATGTATGATTAGTGAACTTAAATTAGAAAACAAACTTTTTTTTAAATATGAATGATCTGTATGATAATTGCATTACAATAAATAAAATTTTAACATTGTTGAAAGAACCTAATATAAATTTATATAGTAAATAGCAAAGTTTATTTAAAATTTGAAAATTTGAAAATGGTAAATTTCTTCTTAATATTTACAAAGTTATGAGTTTTATATACAGTACTTCAGCAATATTAAGTTACTATGAGAGGGTATTTTTTATAATCAACTTAAAATATAGAAATGAACGAAACAAATGTAGGCTTAAGGTTATTAAATATGAATTTATTAGGAAATTATCTTTCTTCATGTCAATGAATTATGTACTGAAATATATGATACTTTTGTTGGTAACGAAAAAATACTAAAAAAAATGCTAAGAACAATAAAAAGTATACATTTAAAAATAACATATAGCATGTTTATAAAATTGATGTAATAAGTTAATGTAATATGTTTAAGTTTAAATATGTTAAAAAGTGTAGTTCAATAAAGATAATTAAGAGGTTATGGTTAAAAAGAAATTAGTTTTTCTTTGCGATTTGTACTATACTGCCATACTAATAACTTAACGTATGCCGTATAGTTACAATATATTCAAAATTGATTTTACAGACCAAGAAAAGTTCTATAAGTTATGATGTACTTTATTTTGAAAATAAAAAGATGGCAACCATGATTATGCATTACATTTCCTTTGTACATACCATTAAAGTGCATGCGAAGTGAATTGACACAATACAAACACTCGATCCGTATATCCGACTAGTTATTTTATGAAGTTTTTACTTTGGTACAATATATATTCATACAAATTTTATTATATATATATAAATATATTTTTAATATTTTTATCATTTAAAGATTTAAATTAAATTAAAACTTTTTCCTTTATTATCATATGTAAAAACATCATGAATTGCGAGCAAATACTTTCATGCACAATTTTGTTTAAAAAATAAAAATACATAAATTAAATTTTGAACTTAAGATTTACCGTTGAACTTTTATATTTAAAGAGACTTAAAATATAAAATTAGATTTATTTAGTATGCTAAGAGATACCTAAGTAATATTTTAGTAATTAGGTAGTTCAGCAATTCTTGTAAAATATTATATAGAAAATTTGATTGATACTAATAGTATCTTATAATTCCTATACCTAAATATTTATAAATTTATCTATAATATTATTTGAATATTTATCCTTAAATTATAGATACTACAATGTGTAAAAGACATATTGTACACTATCAACTATAATTTTTATGGGATAAAACAGATTTTCTGGATATAATTTATTCCATTATAACTTATTTTTTAAGGCTTATGCTGCAAATATTTGAACTATAAATAATTAATACCGTTTATTTTATTTATTTAATTATTATTCAAACATTAGTTTAAAGACGCCACAATGCAGGAACTAATACATCTAGTAGAATACATTTTATTATTCTAGTATACGGTTTTAAAAAAATCTATATACATTTTATTTACTATAATAAATTCAAATCCATATTAGTTCAATGATAAGAAATGTAAATGCATTTTCCTGTGGTAATTATTTTAGATTTTGTGGTAATAATATTAATACACCCTACTTTTAGTAACGTATCAAAATAATTGTTGCTATTTATAATAAATAATGTAATCGAAATGTGTCAAATTATTTATATATAATTGAAGACTGAAATTGGAATAAAAAACTGATTATTAAAAGATAAAGATTTGTATATTAAAAATACAACAGTGATTTGAACTAATAAATTGTATCAAATAAATTAGAACATTGAAAAATAATATTACGTCAAAAAAACATTCAACGAACAGCTATAGTATAGAGATTATATCGCGGAAATAAACATTGATAAAAAATTCAGATTTAATCGTATGCAGATACGAAATATTACTGCACAAGCTTTTAACTGTGTGAATAATTTAAATACTATATGATTGAAATCTATTCGTTGCGCACATACGAGTATGTTTTGTTTTGTTTTTTTTCTACAGAAATGTAAGCATATACAGAAGAAATACGTATTAAATATATAAAATACTGCTGTAAAAATTATTCATTTTTCGTCTGCTCAAAATAATCAAACCTTGGCGGGTTATCAAAAGCTAATAACTCCACTAAAATCTCGCGCGTATAAATATTGCACATTTTCATTAGACTGCTGTGTGTGTGGGTACGATAAATATTTGCAGGTTTTCAATATTAAAAATTATTCAGTGCACGGCTTAGCACGGTTTTGGTTGAACTCGATGCGAAAACTACTCCCGGGAAAAAACGCGAATAACAGAATAAAATCCGCGGACAACAATTATCGTTGCTTTGGTTTTCATTCTCGACGAATCCGCGATGACAGTGCCATCACCATCGGTAAATCGGAAGCGATTACCTTATTATCGTTCGGTGGTTCTCGTGCGTAGGCGACCCGTGGCGTTCGTCAGATTTTACGCGCGACAATTGTTTTCGAAAATAACGTTCAACGCGCGAGATCGTTTCACTCGGAACAACGGATCACGACCAACTGCTACGACCGTTTTAACCGTTTTCGCGGTAACGACCGTAACGCCCCAGCGGCGAGTGTCGTGCGACGACGTCAACGATTTCCGGAACCCAATCGGATTCGACTGGTTTTTCCGTGGACGTCGTCGACCGACGCACAGTCGTTTGTTCGCGGAGAAAAAAACCATTTGCGACGAACGGTCTCGGCAGGTCCTATGTTTGTTTGTCCTATTTATTGTTCTCTCGAGACTTCGGCCCGCAGTGCGATTTCTCGTCGACTACCGCAACAGAGTTGTTCGGCCACCCGAAACCGTCGTGGTGCGGGGCTACGATATTTGAAGACCGCGAAATCCGCCACCGACGGGCGTGCTCGACGTGTGGTTTACGATGGTGGTGGGGTTGGGCAGAGGATTAGGCGGGCACAGTTGGCTACTTACCTGGCGGTGTTTGTCACGCTTCCGGGGAGCTGCTGATGAGTCGGCGAAGAAAGACTGGCGCGTCGCGAAAACCGACAGATCTGGTTATCGCCTACGAAAACGTTATCGCACCCGACGACGGCAAATCGGTGACGACGCCCCGCCGCATCCGCAGTAGCGCGTACTTCTCTCGCTCGTACACTGATATGTCCCGTTACGATGATCGGACCGTAAACGGTTGTAACCGTTGTGTGCGACCGTGATCAATCGTTACAAACGCGTTGACGGGGCCCCAGAACGATCGACTGGATGACGTGGCCAACTAACGGACGTACCAGCGATCGCTGCGATGAGTGTGCCGAGGGGCGACAAAAAAATCAAAAAAAAAAAAAAATAAACCACAACGTGCGAAACACGCGAAAACGGACGGCGACGACGGTACGCGGAAAACCGCACGCGGCGCTCGACGGTGGAACGAACTGAACTCGTCCACGGGCCGTCCGCACGCATACGATACCGAATTTATGTGCGCCGCCAACGCGCAACTCGTCCTTGTCGGAAATCACACACGTGCGCGCCGCCGCCGCCACCGCGGAAAGTTCGCGCGCGACGCGACGAACGTCTACTAACACTACAATGCTCACCGCACTTGAGTTTTGTTCTCTCGACGATAACGTGGATTCGAAGAAAAAAAAACAATATTATTCCACGGAAAATCGCTATTATTGAAAAATCCGGATTTAAGTTTTGACGATTACACATATTTTGTAATAAATTGACTTTTTCATGAGAATATCCACCACAATGTTGAACACAAAATTCGGGTATTGAAATCCGTAAATCTGAAATTCGGATTTGTAAGCCTGACATATGAAATCTGAAATCCGGATGTGTCAGATTTTCCGGAGAATCTACATTTAAACCCTATCACTAATCGCTATATCCTACTGGCGACAATAAGCCGCAGTGCAGAGATTTTTCACTGAGGCAATACGCGGACAGGATACGGTTTATGTGTCCGACTTATGGAACTGTGTCCTGCGTCCTCGAGAATAGATATAGAGGATATTGAGTGCTCTTTAACGGGGTTGACGGTCATATTATTGTAAACAACGACCATGAGAAGCCCATTTATTCGTTTTGGAACAAATATTTAACAACACTACCACAATATTACGCAGCAATTTAAAGTATATGATTTTTATAAATCTCTTAAATGGATATTTTATGTGCATGATTACCTTGATGGTGGAAAATTTTCATATTATCCAAAGAACTAACCTGTCTAGTCTTAAATTTATTTTTTGACATTGAATACATTTTTACACAATGTTCACCTAAAATATAATTTTAAAAAACATCACTTTTCTTTATATCATATTGTGATATTCGCACTTCTCAGTTTCTGGCCCCAAGTTGAAAGCCAAAGTCGAAGATTCAAGATATAATAATTGTAAATATTAGTTGAAACAAAATAGTTTTTGTGTACATAAAAATCAATATATCTATATTATAAAATATGTGTCAACGTATAAATTAAATCCGTATAATATAATTTGGCCGAGAAAATGTGATTAGACATATGGGCATGTGTCGCAAATTACATTATGAGAAAATACGACGTGACGCAAAATACATATATAACATTTATCTATCTTAACCTGTAGGTGACGAAAATTATACATATTATTGATGGCACAAATTACCTTCAACCTTATCTTTTTTTTCAGTTAAAATGCATTTTTTTTTTGTGCATATTTGTTAATTTTTTACTGCATAAATAAATGCATATTATAGTATTTTTAAATGCGTTTTGAATGTTTATCCAAACACTACATATTACAATAAATGTACTTTCTTTTATGTAAAAAAATCATCTAATTTTTAATTAATTTCAGTGTCTACAGATAAACGTTTAATATGAAAAAATATAACTGATCTCAACGTTCTCATATTAAGTAGAATCCATTGTATTATTGTGTTTCTTACCTATCGTTTATTTTAGTATTTTTTTCATAATTTTTTGGGGTCAGTAATACGGAATATTTAGGTTCATCATTTTCCATTCGTTTTCAGAATATTTTTTCTCGAGTTTATGTAATTTTAAATTAAATATCAACGACATAATATCGTTTGATTCTGCAGTCCCGATATCATTACATTCATATGCACTCAGCTCATTGCACTGGTAATCGGATATTGGCCACAAAGAAATCCCAAGGGCTGTAGTTATTTTTTACTTTTTTAAAATGTGAGACACGTAGAAATCGACTCGAACTCGTTTCGTTTTTGTTTATATTCACTTATATACCCATGTATGCACGGATAGCTATTATTTTATTTCAGTTTTTTTCATGTTCAATACTCGTGCTATACGCACTTGGATGCACGCTTGATACGTTTTATACTTATGTATATACCATAGATCACTTATATTTTCCGTCGCGGAAAATATCGCTTTAGATCGATTACAATGTGGTTTTATATAGTGGCGTTCTTTTACTATTTAATTCAACCCAGACATATATATCAAAGGGGTCTGAACTCCACCTCAAAATTTTTGCTAGTCTATAAATCATTATTCATCATAAATAAAATGTAGATTAAATACTTTTCATTTTGAAAGGTAAAAATAAATTATAATAGGTTTATGGTTTTAAATGTAGGAAAATTGTTTTGGAACCTCTCTCCTAAAATAAAATTCTTTCTTAATACCTGATTCTATTTGACATAATATATCATATATATGGGCCTAGCTAGGATTTGAATCAGGGGGGGGGGGGCAAAAACATAAAGCAATTAGCGTTAAACTCGTATTTCAAATAATCTACAGATAGACAATTGGATAATACATAAAACGTCATTACGATTACATGTGTAAATAACACTCGGTCTAGGGCCGTCTCGAAGATAAAAATCAAGGGGGGAGATGAATAATATGAAAAATACCGACTACAATTTTTTTACTTTATGTATATAATTAACTATATATAGTCGTATTTTTACTTTTTAGTATGTATATATGTATCAGTGTCAAACGTTTTTTAAAATTGACAGTTAAATTATATATATATAATAATAATATTTTATATTGTATAATAAGTAGGTAGTTATGTAAATTTTATTCGTTTATACACTGTATTACGAAATATGTAATATTTGTTTTCCGTAAGTAAAATTAGGTCTTTCTAGTCTATAATAAAATAAGCCCGACTGCCGACTGGTGTTTTTGTTGGGGAGGTAAGACACCTCCCCAAGATCTCTTTCGGACGGTCCTGACTCGGTCCCACTAAACTATTTTTAGATTTATATCTTATCTAATTTTTGATTTTAATGTATAACTTATACGTTTGGTATAAATAAATAGAATTCAGTTTGAGGCGTGGGGGGGAAGTTCCTCCTGCCCCACTCTCGCTACGCCTATGATCATATATATTATAAAGTAACGTCTCGTATTGCTGTTCAGATTAACAAACGCTGTTTTCGTTTCGTCTTTTATTTTAGCATTTCATCGTGTTTACGAATATTAATAATCAGTAAATATTATGCTATCATAATCAGGGATTGAAATCGATTTTAAGTATCAATAAAAATCATTAAAAATCTTTTAAAAAATCAAAATCAATATCAAAATTGTTAATAGTTGGTAATGATTTTTTAAAATTTATATAAAAGTAATAAGTAGTAAGTTTTTTTTAATTTAAAAAAAGTTAAAATCGATATTTATATCAAAATCAAAATAATTGTATTAATTAAAACGATTTTAAATCAAATTAATTTAAAATTTAACAGCCAACAGGTCTATCTTTATTATCAATTCGTAGATATTGCCATATTTGGTAATAATATTAAATTGATTATTCATAATAATAGACAACTAGTACCTATTTTGTGTTCTTAAAATATTTACGATAAGGAATCAACGTTCGATGAACGATTTTTGTTTTTATACACACGATTTATTCCGTATAATTTACTATATTAAGACATTTTGTAGTGTATTATTTATGGATAAGATATAAATTTATAATACTCCATTGGCCATCGCCCGTGAGTTATACTTTTAATCAATAATATACAATTAAATAACCTAAAATAGTTTTATTTTGTACTTTGGCAGTCGCTATAGCCTACTACACTATTATGCTGATAATGTACTAAAATTAGAGAAATTATTATAAATTATTTTAAATATTCTGTTATGAACCCGAAATCGAAAAAAAATAAATATCAATATTTGAAACCAAAATCGAAATTAAAATTAATATCAATTTTTTTATTTCGGCTTCAAGCCCTGATCATAATACGTGGCTTGTGTGATTGGTGAAAAATCATACTCGAACCATTCAAGATTTTATAGACGATTATGTAGGCGGAACGATTTGTTGTCAAAATCGACGTCAAACATGTCTGAAAGACCAAATTTACACGTGTATATGCTGTTGTATGATTGATTGTCAAAACGTCGTCGTGTCGATGTATCGATCCAGTGGACTGACTGTAAACACGACTGGAGACATGTACGGCTGTCAGTGGGAAAATTGATGAAAATAAAACAGTCGATATGAGCCTCTTACCCCGATATTCCTCTTACACCAGGGTCCCATTTATAGCTATAGCCCTGAGATCAGTCGATTTATCGATAAACAAATCGTTTCTATCGTGGAGTACCATGATTGTTCATGACAACTCATCGACAAACGGTCTCTTTGACGACGAGTTTCGAAGAAATCGTTCTGTATGTATGTTGGAGATAACGAGTGTGGCGGAATAATCGTTGGAATACACGTGGTCCGCTGCATTGTTTTCCAGGACACGAAGACTCGTTGGAGTTTTTGCAATCTATACGTCAATCATTGTTGTATGCGAGGAGGACATCGCGCGTATCTTGGCTGAACCTGATCGTATTTCGTGTTTACATTTACCGTGCGTGGTGGTTATTATTATTATTAATACTATTATCAGTGGCGTAACTACGGGATGGCGGGAAAGGCATGGCAATGCCCCAGGGCTCTGGACTTGAGAGACCCTGGAGGGACCCTCGACCCTCGTAAATACAATTTGTATCATTCAAAAATTATATACAAACATTTAAATTTTATTTTAAAATTGACAAGACAGGTACTGTTATTGAGACAGAAAAAAGTACAACTAAACAGCCAACACATACCTATTATATTATATTATTTGAAAACAGACGATGTTTATATTAATATCGTGATAGGTGTATAGAATCCTGAATCAATAATTATTATGCGATAAAAATGACAATCATCGTAGATACCACTCGTACAACGTACACAATACGCATAAACTAACCACTAATCACTAATGGTAATTGTACGACAATATAGTTAATATTATCGCGATACTAATATAAACATCGTCTGTTTTCCGGTTTGTCTATTTACATTCTACACGGCAGTTTACATTTGATTGTCGAATCGTCCGGACTACTGACATAGAACAAGTAAATTGTAATTTTTGTTATACCATGTGT